GGGTATGGTTGACCTCTCTGAGCCTGTCCTGCGAAAGGTGCTGTAATAAAAAGAACAAGTGTTGTTTCTCTCCCAGCCGCAAGAAACCCTTCCAACCCCCTGGGTGTAAATTCAAACAGAGGGTTAGTGAACCCCCTTGTGCCAAGCACGGTTTTGAACATGGGATTTGGAAATATTCTCATGCCATTTTCTTGTGCTGGCCCAGATCCACCAATTTGTATGGCTTCGCTGTTAGATAATAAGACATTTTGATTTACCAAAGGCCTCGAAGGACGCTTATACCATGACTAAGGTACATGTGATGGTCTTTCATAATTTTGATTACTATTCTGACCATTAGTATGCCCATTAATTTGCATAGATTGATTATCTCTAGCCAATCTTTGCTTAAGAACATTTGAATTTTCCTCCATATGCCTTATGATAGTTGGTTGATGGGAATTCATTCGATCCATGAAGGATGTTGCCCATCTTTCCATTATATACATTAATTGTTGTCTCATAGTGTAGACGCGCCCCGAGGGCCTCATGCTACTACAGTTCGGACTCAAATGTCACGGTTCTGAATCTGATCCCGCAAAGTGCAATGCGAGACCGATAAATCACCAAAGAGTCCAAATCCGGCAAATCATTTTGAAAAATTGATTTTTAAGAAAGAAGTGCCAAACATGGACTGCTTTGCCAGATATAGAGTCGCCACCTAAATATTTTATTTTGGAGTAAATTTAGGAAACCCTGACTCGTTGCCTAAGGCCACGTGTCCATCATCACCAAAGTTGCCTCGGCTCGGGAACTTGGGTACGATTGGGGAAGGTCATCTATGAGCACCCCCGCTCGCCCGATCGAAGATCGGCCTTTACTAACATGATATCTTGTTTTTTAAAACACATGTGTTCTTATTCCGGTTATTAGCCTATAATTACTATGTGATGTGCACAACACACAAGTATAGACTAGATCGCCTAAGTTGGAACAAAACATCTCATGTTTGTTTGAAAATGATTTGAAGGTGCTACTCGCAAGTAGGCTAAGACGTGGATTTGCCACCCTCGAGTGGGCTTAGAAAACATTATTTTTCCACAATCAAGTGGGCTTAAAACTCGCATTTCAGTGAATTGTTTCAATTCAAGTAATCTAACCTTCACCCACAGGCATTCAGGCAGTTATATCATATAAACAGTTAGGCTCATGGCAAGCATGCTATCATGGCAACACTCACACTCATGCAAGATGCTAAAGCATAAAAGCTTGCCTAGTACTCCAAGCCAAAACAAAAGCTAGTTAGTAATCAATGCATGATCCTAACTATGTTAAGATGGCTAATGCAACACATGCAAAATGTAACTAAAAATAGGCTCGGCTATTCTAAAATGGCATATGAGATGCAACTTGATAATCGTGTATTCAAATTGAAATTGAAATACAATGCAGTTAGTATGATGCGCCGAGCCCGGTGCATGCAATACGAATGAATGTATGCAAAAATACTATCATAAGTATGCTAATTGAAACATGACCTAAAACTAACCATTGTAAGCGGTTAAGTAAAAGGGAGAAAGACATGGGGCTGGAAGACATTCACACACTCACGCACACTTATTACAAAATTCGTCCTCTCGACGGAGGGTCCGAATAAATAATACAAATCAACTAACTAACAAGCTAATTAATTAATTACAGAACCACTTAACTAATTAAACAAATTAATTAAGCTGCTAAAGCAGTAAAGAGGCCTCGGGAAGAGGGACAAATGCATGCATGCTTGGCTCCGCTCGAAAATCTATCGCCATGCTCATGCTGCCTCTGTTTATACTACTCTGCACCTCTAAAAACTGCACAAGTCTCAAGGATGCTTCTGAATCACCTTCTAGGTGCTGTGAGAGGCCATCGGCCAAGTGGAAAGCCCATCAGCCAAGGGTAATTGGTCATCGACCAAAAATGAAGCTCTTGGCCAACAATACTTAGCCGATCGGCACTGAAAGTATCCGACCGGCCATTTCTTCCTGCAGAATGCTACTTTGCTGCAGCAAAGGACAAACAGAGCATGGCAATACATTTACAAGGCAATGTTTGCATGATCACCCTCCTTATCATGTTTAAGGCTCAAAGGAGTGTAGTGCTCGACTCTCGAGCCATCAATCACGCATTTCGATGCATGATGGCCAAAGGAGCCAAGTGTGCGATTTCAATATCAAATGAAGTGCACAAAAACACATAAGGGGCCCCAACCTCTATCATGCTTGATCAAGAGGCAAGGGATGCACATACAATGCTATGCAACCTAAGCATGCAAGCAACCCAAGCATGATGCAAATCCAATGCAACATAAGCATATTAATGACAATGCCATACAAGGCTAATGTTTCTTCTCTCTTCTCCTCTTTTCTTCAAATCCAAACCCCTAAACAAGGTGTTTTGAAAGATTTTTCAAAGATTTTATCTCTCTTTCATTCATTTCCACTTTGCCCTGACTCGGTTTACCGAAAAGCGCAACATTTAACAAAATGTGAGCCTCAGAACATTGTAAAAACTTTAATTCAAAAATGTTTTGAAAGAGAGGGTTTTAAGGTCTAAAAACCATTCAAAATAGCTTTGGTCCAAAATAGGGTATGAAGTTGAGATTTGACTCTCCCCTTGCCGAAGAAACTGAACTTTTGCCCTGCACACCTTTCTCCACCAAATGAAACATCAGTAGTGCCCAATTCTTAAGGGCGGTCAAAAATGGGGTGTCTACAAGTGGCCATAATGTTGAAATGATGGCATGAAATGCAAGACAATGCATGCACATGCTCTAGCCCACCAACTAAGCATAAAAGCATAACTCTCAAAAGTGCTCAGGAGTGACAAATGTGAGAGTGTAGCAACACTATACACTACAGGAAAAGATGGCTATTGCAACGTTTCTTTTATGGCGTTTATGAAAAACGCCATTATAGATTATTTAAATACAACGTTTCTAAAAACGTTGTATCTGATCTCAGTAAAACGGCACCGTTTGGGTCAACTTGTTAACACCGTTCAATACTCCGTCCCTTTCAAAACGTCTCTCCCTCAGTCTCACTCTGAGTCTCCCTCTCAGTCTCACTTTCAAAGCTCAGAAACCCTTTCGATTTGAAGCTCAAAAACCCCCACTCTCACTGATTTGAAACGCTCACTCTCGTTCGATTTCAAACAATCATTCTCGCTCGATTTCAAACACTCTCGATCGATTTCAGATCTGTCGATTTCAGAACCTGTCGCAGGTTTGAAGGTCTCCAGATTTGAGCTTATCTTCCGATTTTGGTTCTCCTCTCTTTGGATTTTGTGAGTTTCGATTTTGGTCCTTTGGTTCTCCTCTCGTTTAGGCCCCCTCATTCTTCTTTTTTTGAAGATCTGTAAGTTTGTTGCTGCTCTGTTTTGTTGCAGATCTCGTTCAATCGGTCTCTTTTTTTTGTTGCAGAACTCAGATCTGTAAGTTTTTATTATATATGCATTTGTTTTGTATGAACTCAGATCTCTGATTTTTCGTTGTTTTGAGTTCATTGTTTTGGATTTGGTGGATGTATCTCACCTCTCTCTCACGCACACACATCAAGCTATTAATGTTTCTTTCTAATCTACTCAATCCTCTTTAAATTTGTTTTCGTTTACATTTCTCACAACGGAAATAATAACAGTTTGATTTTTAATTTTTATTATTAGAGGGAGAAAAGACCTACATTAAGATAAAGGAAGACTACACATGTTAAACTTGCATAGGCTACATCCAGAATAAAAACCAATTTTGTTATTCAAAAAAATGATGCTCTTGAGTAGAACTATTTTTGAAATATTTCAAAAAAGATGTGGTTATTTGTTTTTATCCCTTCTATTATTTTTTCGACATTTAATGATGATGAAAGGAGAATTATCTCCAATGTAAGAGAAAATGTAAAACAAGTACTTTGTGTGTGTGTGTGTGTGATTAGCATCCAGCTCTTAACTTGATAGCTTGCAAGATATAGTGACAACAACTCAGAGTCATAGTATAAGCTCATTTAAATTTGTGCATGAAAAACATTTCTGAGAACAGTAAAGGGATTATTGAAAAGTTTTCTTTTGCTGTGTGACTCATCTTATATTTCGTGTGTGTTTACCTCAATTCAGATACAACTTGGCTGTACTTGTCTCACTAGATAAGATCCCAATCAATATTAGCATGATTTAAATGAATGTTAGCTGAATGCATCAATAGCAACTTTGATCCTCAAGCTTCACTAAAACTTTGTCTTGGCTTTGATGAGCCACTTCCCAATGGTCCTCTGTATCATCTGCTTGTTGATAATCTTATAATTCAAACTCTTGGCAACATAGATATATATATGTATTGTACATTTTGCAGATACGGTTGCAAGTCTGCATCCATCATGTTACAACCTTATGAACATTTGTTATCTGGCATGCTAAATTATGCAGTTCCTTTTATCTTCTTTGTCTGAGTTATGTGTGCTTGATTGCAATGACCATGATGATGTTAGTTGTTACCCATTGAAATTCTACAACTGCTGCTTTGTTTTCCTGTATAACTTCTGCATTTCTTGGGAACCTAATGGAGCAAGACTTTGTATTAAGTGAATGCTGTAGTTTTCTGTTTTTCTTACAGAGTGGGAATGTAATAATTTTCATTCTGCACCTTCAAACAATACATTTCTGTAATAAAGTAGTTCCAAGTATCACTTTCTTTCACCATAGAACCACAATTGTTATTATCTTACCCAGCTTAAATATTACTTTGATATATCACTAACTTTGGAAATCCAATTTTGCAGTTCAACAAATAAACCTAAAGTCATATTGGTGCTACATTTCTCATATGTATAAAGTAACCAAATGTATGGCTGAGATAACTCCTTATAGTTTTTATTATTCTAGAGTATGTATTAAGGGGGCATGTAATCTATTTGACTCAACCAATGCTTGCTATGGTGGAACTGCAGCTTTATTCAACTGTGTCAATTGGGTGGAGAGTAGTTCATGGGATGGACGCTATGGACTTGTGGTCTGCACAGACACTGTGGTATGATTATATCCTTTGGATCTTTAATGCCTCTCTTGATTGTGACCAGTGAATTGGAACTTATTTTTTCCAAGCCCAACATCCTAATCAATCAAATAATTAACAGCTGCTATTGCTATGCTTATAGGGCCTGATGCTCCTATAGCATTTGAAAGCAAATTCAGGGGAAACCATATGTCGCATGCCTATGATTTTTACAAGCCCAACCGTGCAAGTGAATATCCGGTAAGTCTCCCTGAACTTCCGTTAATTTTCATGAAAACTCAGTATTTTGTGCATTATTTCACAATAATGAAAGGTAGTTTTCAATTAATGATTCTGACTATTTTGTGTTTCACTCTCCATACAACAAGGTAGTTTATCTAATACTGTTAATATGTGCATTTAATTTCTCTTTCTGGTTTACCGTTCGAAGCTTTCAGAGCACTTGAAAAAATAACAGAGGTTTAAACTTTTTAGTTTAATCACTACAGCTTGTTCAAAAGAGCTTTGCCTGGTTGTGGTTCAATGACTTCTTGAGGAATGTCGTGATTCGATGACTTCTTGAGGAATGTCGTGATCTAGAGGTCTGTTTTGGCTCCTAGTCCTAACATGCATTTCCAATCTCTCTCTTACATTCTTTCTTTTACCTTACCTAGACTGTAACCTGCAATACACAGATTGCTTTCGCCATGTCTCTCTTAAAACTAATTGGTGCTAGAGAGGGTTTTAGCTTTAGTTTTAAGATTATGTGAGGTCGACCTATCAGTGTCTCTTGAGCTTTTGAAGCTGTTATGAAAATCTCTCCAAGTATCTAATCCCATTTGTTCCCCTAGCTATGGTCTCTTAGTGTCAGTCGGCCATTAGAATGCCTTTGCTAAGACTAAATGTGTTTTATTCATGTTATTTGTTCTTATCAAATGTTGGTTCAAATATCAAAGAAAGGAAAGAAAAAGAAGAAGTAGATAGGACAAACTCAATGAAAGAGGCCTTTTTTTGTTGTAAGTTTTATTCTTAAAATTAAAGTTGTTGAGGTGGAATAATATTGTATTTCATCATCTCTACTGTGGTTAATTTCTAATAAGTGTTAATTTTGTTACAAATTTTTGTTTGACAAAGTGCCTAATTTTGAGCAGTCCTTGAAATCATGGTAAATGGTCCAGAGGAAATTCATAGTATCAGAATACTAAAACATCTGAGTTGATTTCATATTTTGGACAACATATTAAAATAGATGATCTAAAGGTTTATTCTAATTGATCATAGATTATCAGATGCAGCAATGGTGATGTTCCAATCTGTAGTGTAATTTCTAAAATTGGCCAGCTTGTTCCTTAAATAAGTGTTGGCCCATGAATGAGTAACTTGTATAATCTTGCTGACTATTTTTTCTCTCTGGATCTGAATTTGCAAATTTGGGTGCAGGCTTTATAATTGAACTGGTGCAAGTAAGTGTTGCCTTTTTTTTTTTTTTTTTTTGTAAGTTTGTTTATCTGTTGATCAGGTGTGCTGACATTTTCATTTTCTTTTAACAGGCTGTTATAGTGTCAACAAACTAACTTCTGCTGGTTGCAAAGTAAAGATTTGAAGATTTGCACTAAATAACAAAAATGAGGGGGTGATTTGAAGAAAATTCAAATTGTTTAACAGTATATGATTGAGATTTGGAAAGTTGTAGGGTTAAATACCTTAGGAGATAAACTATAATTTTTATGGTTTTCAATTTGGCATTATAATTTAAATTTGAGCCAATTTGTTTTATTTTATATTAATTATCAGTTAATTCTCAATCGCTGTTCCTAGTTAAATTTATATAAATTCTCAGTTAATTCTCAATCTCAATCTCTATTCTTAGTTAAATTCTCAATTAATTGGGTTGTATTCTTAAAAAAAAATAAAAATAAAAAAACAAAAAAAATGGCGTTTTTGAAAAAAATGTCACTAAATGTTGTCATCATGACATCACATCTAAGGTAAGTATTAAAAATGAAAAATGGTGGCATTTTTTCAAAAAATGCCACTGAATGACGTCATCATTACATCATATATTAATTGTGACGGAAAAGTAGATGGCTGTTAAAGATTTTGCGACGTTTTGAAAAACGTCGTCTAATGTTTTTAGCGACGCTTTTGAAACGTTGCTAAGCTATTGCGGCGGCCGTATCTACGACGAAAATATTAAACGTTGCAAAAACTTATTGCAGCGTTTTTCAATCATATAGCGGCGTTTTTGAAACGCCGGTAAAAGTCAAATTTCCTGTAGTGATAAGCACTGAAATAAGGTATGAAATGATGACATATCGTGCAAGCAACACAAGCATGGCATGCTAGGGTCCTTAAGCATTAAAGCTAATGAAGTACACATCACTAAGGCTATACCATGCAATGCTCAATGGACTAAACCAACCCTAAACAGTCCTCATGCATGCCAAAATAATAGTCAAAATGCTCTGAAATGCTAGCATTGAAAGCAATAAAATGCATGCTCATGCATTGGCCCATGAACTAGGCACAAAGGTGCAACTCTCAAGAGCACTTAAAGAGTGATAAACATGAGAGTATGGCAAAGATATAAGCTCTGAAATATCATTTAAAACGATGCCAAGGCATGCAAACATCAAAAGTATAGCATGGTAGAGGCCTCAAAACTCAAGACTAGTCAAGGCATTTGCACTATAGCTATGCAATGCATGAAACATCTGGCCAATACGACCCAAAACAGTCCTAGAGCATGCCAAAACAATGACAAAACATGCATGGAGCAAAGCCAAAACAAGCTAACATGAAGGGTCAAAACATGGAGTATGTAAGGCCAATAAGGAAGTTTACACTACACCTACCAAAGCCAAGCATATGATGACTTAACCAACAAAAATCAGAGTTATGGCATGTCAAAATAACACCAAAAATAGGCTAATACCAAGTCAACACAAGCTAGAATAACAAGCTCACTCATTAGGCATGCAAGACTAGTAAAGAGGACTTACACTACAAGTGTAAGAAGCAAATGAGGGATGCCGTAACCAACCAAAAACAAAGTTATATCATGGAAAAATAAGACCCAAAACACACTGAAATGGTGGTCCAAAATCCTAGGCAAGATGGCGTACACATGGGCTCTTTTTTAAGACATAAAGCATGAACCCTTCAAAGCATTGAAGGAGTGAAACATGTGAGTACATGGCAATGAAACGTGCTCTGAAATATCATTCCAAATGATGCTAAATCATGCAAATAACCCAAGCAATGCATGCTAGTGGCTTGGAAACTCAAGGGTAGTGAGCTAAAATGCACTATGGCTATACAAAGCATGGCATGCATGACCCAAAACACTTCAAACAGAGCTTAAACACGCTAAAATATGAATAAAAGCTTCTTTGAGTTGAGCCAAAATCATGCTAAACAAAGGCTCAAAGCACAAAGCATATTAGGCTAGTGAAGAGGATTGCACTACAAGTGCATGGAGCATGCAAGAAGCTATCAAACCAACTTTAGATAGAGTCATGAAATGCTAAATAATGACCAAAAACATGCTGAAATGGAGCCTATACATGCTTAACAAACATGCTACTTCATGAGGCATATAAGACTAGTTTGCAAGAATTACACTACAAGTGTATAAAGCATGCATAAGGTGACCAAGATAGCCATGGACAGAGTTAAGGAAGGTCCCAAAAGTCACAAAAAAGTGCCTGAACTAAGCCTCAAAATGGTAGAAACATATGCTCATTTGATAGGCCAATAAGACATGCAAACAAGAGAAGAGGAGGGGGGACAACCCCCACCCATTTGGGACCTCAAAGTAGGGTTTTTACCACTGAAAATCCTCTGGATTTCAATGGTTAAAAGGCCATGAAAAGTTGTTTTGAAAGGCCTTAGAAGATGGCTCAAAAGCTATACAAACTAAGGAACAAAAGGGAGAGACAACCCCCTAGCCAAACAAGGCTTCAACCAACATTTTTAGGACTGAAAATCAGACCTTTATTCAGTTCAAAACCAAGCCCAAAACAATTTGAAAGGGTGGCAAAACAAGCATGCTAAGGTGGCCAAGATAGTGTACAAAAATGAGCTTAAAAGAGGGAGATCTTACCCTTGATGTACAGCTGCAAAACCAGCCCAAAATCTGAGCCAAAACACCTTTTGGAACTCAAACAAAGTTCCAAGTAAGCTTCAAGCAACCTCCTCCCAAAGATAGGCAACTTTGATCAAGGATGCATAGACAAACTAGGCATGTTTCTCTACTTCTATGCACTTCTATGCAACAAAGAGCAAGAGAGAGAGGAAACTAGAGAGAGAGGCAAAGATTTAGGTCTGAAATTTCTAGAGAGAGAGGACTTTTTAGAGAGAGAGGCTCCCAAAATTGCTTAGGAAGTTCTTGGTCCTTGAATATGAGATATTTGGCTGCATATATAGCAGTGCAAAGCTTTTGGTCGAAAATATCTAAGTATGGGAACAAAGAGCAAGAGATGGAGGAAACTTGAGAGAGAGAGGTAGATATTTAGGCCTGAAATTTCTAGAGAGAGAGGACTTTTTAGAGAGAGAGGCTCCCAAACTTGCTTAGGAAGTTCTTGGTCCTTGAATATGAGATATTTGGTTGCATATATAGCAATGCAAAGCTTTTGGTCGAAAATATCTAAGTATGGGACAGCTGGAGGTTGTGTGGAATAGCTAGAGATGAAATATCTTCAAAAAATCTGAGTTTGGGTCACTATTGGCCGGTCGGCCATCTTTTGTGCCGATCTGCCACTTATCTACTACTTTTTTGGCCGATCGGCCAACAAAATCTGCTTTTCAGGCCCAACTTTAAATGGGCATAACTCCTTCATATGAACTCTTTTTTAGGTCATTCTTGTGTCCAAATTGAAGCCCTGGAAGTAAAATTTCCAATGGTGGAAGCTTTGCATAAAAATTCTAACTGTGAAAAAAGTTATGCCTCTTTTGGTGAAGCTGCTCAGTTTCTATCCAACTGGAATGATGCCCAACTTCAACCAACCATATCTCTCCCATCCGGACTCGGTTTGAGGAGATTCTTGAATGAAAAATGAAGCCCCGGAAGTCTTCTTTCCAACGGTGGTGGCCTCATAGCTTAAATCCATGTGCATAGACAGATAGGGCTGATTTAGGGAGGACCGCTCGACTCTCTCTTAACGGTTCATGCCCATCTTCTTCCCCAACTTGGTTTCTTCTCTCTTCTCCAATTTTCCTCAACTCTAAACCCCCTAAACAAGGTGTTTTGAAAGATTTTTCAAATATTTCATCTCTCTTTTATTCATTTCCACTTTGACCTTGCTCGGTTTACTGAAAAGCACAACATTTAACAAATGCGAGCCTTGGAACATCGTAGGAATTCTTTTTCAAAAATGTTTTAAAAGAGAGGGTTTTAAGGTCTAAAAAAAAACATCCAAAATGGCTTTGGTCCAAAATGGGGGGTGACGTTAGGATTTGGCTCTCCTCTTGCCGAAGAAATCGAACATTTGCCTTGCACATCTTTCATCACCAAGTAAACCATCAGTGACGCCCAAGTCTTAAAGACGGTCAAAAATGAGGTGTCTACACATAGCATCTACCAAGCCTCCCCACAGATTCATTAGCTAGGTAGACGAAATTGTGCATAGTCCAATTCCATGGCCTCGTCCAATATTTTAAACATGTGGTGCATGCTCCCGAGATGCTGGTCTGTTCGACCATAGGTTCTGATGAAATAGGTGCTTCCACAAGATGTGTTGTCACATTATCCACTTGATCAGGTACTTCTACCTCTCCCTTCACACCTTCTTCCAGGCGTTCACTTTTTCCTTATCTCCTACATCTAGCCATTTTAGAATCCCACTGGGCGTGCCAAAAATATATGTTGGTTTTTTGGCTTTCGAAGGTTAATAATATAATTTTAAGCGTGCCAACAAAGATCAATTAGTCCTTACAGAATATTAATTGCTAACCAATTATCAGACGTTTGTGTTATAGTTCTCTCAGCCTCAATGAAGATGACTTTTTCTGGTGGTTTGTTTAGGAGAAATTAGTAAATAACAACGAGTGAAGAACAATTTCAGAATCTGAATTTCATTAAGTAAATGAAACCTTACAATGATCTGACCCAGCCTCGTAAAGGTTCACAGCAACAAACTATTTGAAACTACTTGTAGGAAATGAAATGCAGTACAGGAATTGAAGTGCAGAAATGTAAAAAAACTGTAAAACTGGAAAGACAATGAAGTAAATAAAGTGGTTTTTTTATCTGAGTTTGAGGCTTCATTCTAGGACCTTCTCTGTTATTTATACTCTTCAATGATGACCGTCGAAGTGGGCTTCCAACCGTCGAAATGTCCTCCCATGATTGCTGAACATACTCTCTCACAGTCAGTCCCACTATGCCACTCTTGCAGTTAGGCCTCCCTCTTGATTTTGAATTTAAATTTTGCGAGTAACCGTTAGGCCACATCATCTTGTATCTCTCGATTGTTCCAATACTACACAAATCCATTATTACCAATACGAACTGCCACGTGTCTGACTTTGGTTGGCAACTTGTATTAACTCTCCAAATTGCCCTCTTCGTGCCACGTGTTAAATTGTGATTCGTTTTTACAAATTCTACAGCCAACATAATTTTTAACCAAGGCAAAAATAGTCAAAAAAAAAAACCGATCTAACTTCCCAAATGACCCTAAGGGTTCATTTAGGAAGTTGGGTTACAAAATTATTGGTTTGTTTGGGAATAACTTTGTTAGCCTAATTTTTTAGTTTTTTTTTATTAATTTAACCTGACTAAATTAGTTCCGTTTGGAAAGAATTTTTTAATTTTTTATGAGAAAAAAAGTGAAATAATTATAGTTTAGATATGATATTTTGTCTTATTAATTTATTTAGAAGTTCCTTGAAAAGTGTTAAATAAATATATTTTTTTACTTTTTAAAAAAAAATAAACAGAAAAGTAAAAAAATAATATCACCTAAAAAAAAATAGAATGATTAAAAAAATATAATTTTTTAATAGCTCGCAAACAACTTCCCAATCTATTTTGTCCTTTTATATTTTTTTAATCTCAACCACCTTCCCACCAACTTCTATTTCAAATTCATAAATTCAATCCGTGATTTATCATTCATGAATATTGATAACAAAATAAAAAATAAAAAAAAGCATCTCATCCACAAAGCCAATGTCAAATCTCATTTAAGGCATTTTATAAATAGAAAATTACATCAGTGTAATAGAAAAAAATATATATATACAAATTAATAAAAAAAAATTATACGTTTCAATAATTAAAATATTATACTTTTTCATGATTTTATATTTTTTTTCCCTCCAGTGACACTGTACTATTATTTCACCTTTTATAAAGGAAGATATTAGTTTTACTTCAATATTATAAATTATTATAGATCATTAAAGTGGAATTCCTTTAAGTTTTCTAAACTTCTTCATTATTTGGTCTTCGGGAAGAGCTAAAGAACTTGGTTTTTTAGCTTTCTAATTATTTTAGTCTGAACTTTTTTAATCTCGTTTAGTTTTTATTTTTGACCTTTTTAACTTTTATTAGAAAAAAAAATATAATGATTATGATTTAAATGTGATATTTTGTCTTATTAACTTATGTAGTTAATTTTATCTTTTGTACTTATTTTGCCAAAACCAACATATCTTAAAGTAAATAATTAGGGTAACTTACAAACACACCTCTTGAAATTTGCTTCATATACAAATTACTCTTATAGTCTTGAAAATTATATTTTATCCCTTGAGATTTTAAATTTCATAACAAATAACTTTTTTATTAATTAATCATTAAATCAATTAACAATTTTCAATGATGTTAGAAATTTATTTTAATTAATAATTTAGGGAATTTTATTGTTATATAAGAGAACAGTTAAAAATTTTATTTTTTTAATTAATTTTGTTAAATAAAAAATAGAAAATTCTAACAAAAAATTATTTATAATTTTTCAAACTATAAAAGGTAATTCGTATTTTAAACAAATTTCATGATGTGTATTTATAATTTATACTTATAAAATAATAATAAAATGAATATAAATAAAATTCCCATACATAAAACTCAACAAGAATTATGTAATAGTGGTTACATTCTTGAAATAGTAAGCTACAATAAGTGCACTTATTTAGATAAACGCACTTGTTTAAGTTATATCACCTCTTTATTTTTTTACACCTCTTTTCATAAAAAGTCAAAAAATATACTTAGTTAGATCATCTCAAATAGCCCTAAGACCTCATCATTCTATATGCAAATAATAAGATATGACAATTTGTATAACATTGTCCTACTAGCCAAGAAAAAAAATGAAAAAATTAATTCCTATGAAGATCCAGCTAAATGTTAATCATAACCATGAAAGTTAATGTTCAAGTACAAAAAATTAATATTTTACAAATTCACATATGTTTTTTCTTTCATTCTTATATAGAATATAGATGATAATAATTATGGGTTTAGGATAATTGCAAGTGGTTGAGACCCCCTCCAATCACCACCCCCACAACCCCCACACATATGTTGCAGGTGGTGATTGGAGGAGAAGAAAAGAACGAAAAAGAAAAAAGAAAAAAGAAAAACTGATCAACCAGAAAGAGAGGGGGTCAAAAGGGGTGAGAGGAAAAGGAGTCCGGATCATTTTTCAAAAATTATACTATCCTCTCTTCTTTGTTGAATATACCTGAATCTCTCATTCATACAAATAATTTCGTTCTTTCTTTCCTGATAATTACTCAATCCCCACATCTACGTGGGGATTGGTGATTGGAGGAAAAAAAAAAAAAAAAAAAACTGATCAATCAGAAAGAGCGGGGGTCAAAAGGGGTGGGGGGTAAGGGAGTCCGGATCATTTTTCAAAAATTATACTATCCTCTCTTCTTTGTTGAATATACCTGAGTCTCTCATTCATACAAATAATTTCGTTCTTTCTTTCCTGATAATTACTCAATCCATCTCTCATTCATACAAATAATTTCGTTCTTTCTTTCCTGATAATTACTCAATCCATTAGGCCATGAGGTCACTATTAGATTGTTAACAGGGTTTCAACAAACTTTGGGTCTCCAATCACCAAGGTGTCCTCTTCCAAGCAAGTCAAAAGACATAAGTACCCTTTTCTATCCCCGCAATCAAACACCCACACCTCCCCATTGCACTCGCAACCAACCGCGGCCTTCTTCTTCCTTGATCCATCCCTTCACTCCAAACTCACTGCAACCAAGAATCTATCTCTGTCTCTCTCTCGACCTTTTCTTTCTATTTCCTCCTTGCCTGCCTTCATCTACCTCTCTTTCTCACTCTCTCTCGACCTTTTCTTTCTATTTCCTCCTTGCCTGCCTTCATCTACCTCTCTTTCTCACAACCCAGGCAACATCATTCTCCGGCAAGTATCACCACCACCACCCATTGTCACCACATCACCATAACCACCACAAACATATCAGCACCTTTCTTCTCCAGCAACTATCACCCTCTGATCACCAATGACTATCCACCATCGAAAACCCACCCCATCATTGTCCTCACAACCAAACACCACTCTCCCTCCTCCTCCAACATTCTTCTCCTCCAAATATTGTGTTTTACACACTTGGCTTCAGATGTTCTACATAGGCTATGCAACAGATTCTTCTGCTTCACCTGAGGATGTTAAAAAACAACACAAACCAAACGAAGCTCTAATTAAATCGCTTAAAATACATGAAATTATACAGATACTAATACAAAACCAAAACAAGTTAAATTTTGTCCACATATAATCAAGTCAACGTTAAAGTAGAAAAAAATATACTACAATCCAATAGGAACACGACCTAATGAGCATGCATCAGTGAAGGTAAATCAAAATTTTAAATAATCCCAACTTGGCCGCATATCAGGTGCATCTCATCTCCTAGCTTGTACAGTCAAACCAATCGAAATTCCAAAAAAATTCTAAATATAGATAAATTTTCGAAAGAATACAAGAATCCATGCAAATGCCACAGCATGTGTTTATGTTTATAGATGAGTATGTAATGTCTATGTCTACGAACACACCTGAAAGAGAGAAATAGAGACATAGAAAGACATTGGATGAGCACTAAACAATTACCAATTGTTCTTGAGCTACTTGAATCAGATCAATCGGTAAGATGTAACAAAATATTGATGAGCATAAAACAAGCTAAAGCTCATTCGGCTCAACTCAAACAATTATCTCTATATGTACAACAAACCTCCAAACCATGCCACATAACTGCACGGTCCAGAAAGGGGAGGCGACACAAGGGTTAGTAGTCAAGCACGCCCCAAGGCCCTGGTTGGATGGGCTGCTGCCAAGTGCTGAAGAGCATCGTTTCTTTGCCAAACCAACCCCACCACCACCACGCCCCACCATCCGCCAAAACCCCAAAAGCAGAAGCAGGTGTTTAAGAATCTATCCCTGAACAGCTCCGTTTGCCACCAATAAGCAACCACCAAAGGGTAATCTTGGCAGCAATGGTGCAAGAGCAAGATATCAAAAATTACCTTCAAGGGTTGGTTGCTCATTCGGAGGAAATCAAGAATGAAGTAAATTTATAATCAGCTGTCGTCATCCACAGCACCAATATATGTGAGGTCTGTCCGTCTCACCCTCACAGCCCCCTTAAGCCAGCTCGAAGCTCTTAGATTACCATTACCATTACCATTGCCGCCAATTCCGGAAGCCGTAATCGGGCCAGATCCCAATCCATCCTCCAAGAGTGTCCACGGGTCTATTTCTGCATCAACATCTTGCTGCAATGGCAATGGCGAAGGCCTGTTCTTCCCAGTTGCAGTAGTCCCAGTTCGTCCAGAAGAAAGTAGATTCCTTGGGGGCAAGTTTGAATTTCCAGGATGTGACCCAGATACTGAAATGCTGGATTGAAGTGAAGAAAGGGCAACGGGTGAAACGGATGGCAGCTGGCAGGAAATTGAACACTTGGAAGACGGGAAAAGAATAGGCATTGCAGCTTGAATACGCCACCGAATTGAGTCGGGCAATTGCATGCGATCCAAGTCATTCTGCATCAATTAACAGTGAAATGTGCAGAACAATTTAGTGAATTCCTTGACAATGGAGAATTATTCAATAAAGTCAAGCAAGCTAAGTTACACCAGAGAGACGAGAGAAAGTGACGAGGTTCAAGAAAGAAGGGCAAAAAAGGCTACTTGTGCATGCAGATACTAAAACTACTTCCAAATTATATACGTTGTTCAGGAACCAAATTTACTTGATAATTTGGACAATATAAAAGCATAATATCAACAACAGGCCAATAATTACGTATTCTTCAGAAACCAAGTTAACTTGCTGATTGTATACTTTAAAAGCAAAATATCAACAGTGACTCAATAATTCTATCCAAATGGGATAAATAATTGATGGATTAGTAAACGTCCCAAGAATAGCAATTCACTCCTTCACAGTTTACATGGGATTTCAACATGACTAGTACATTCCCACTTAAGGATGCGTTAGGTGCGCCACACCTCAAAGCATAGTGAAGGCTACCAACTTAGGCCATCCCAATTTCCTCTTACCTCAGTCCACTAAGTGTTGTACTGAATTTCAAATGATTTTATTCTGACTCCATCAGTAGCTAATAGTCAAGTTGCATTCCCCAAAAAATAGCATTTAGGATCTTGAAATCCCATGCTTTAGTCAATCTTTTCTATCACTGTGGTGTCCCCAACTAGCCAGCAAACTCATCCATTTTATCTTACAGGTTCAATTTCATGGCAGGTCCAGAAACAAGTTCCAGTTTCACTTTCCCACATTTAGATCTACTTGTAAATTTCTTTCTCAGACAGGTATCCAGATGACGGAAGTTAATAAAAGCTACTATTAAACCCACTTGCTTCCATGAACTATGATGTGAACATAGGATTTAGCAGGTAACCTTCATTTGAAACTTCCTATTAGCTGCATCCCCATCAAACCCGAAAGCAGAAATTTAAATTAAGGTTAACAAAGATGAACCTGCAAATTCTCAGCCACCTCTCGATCAAACACAGAGAAGTCCTTCATACATTCAGGGGTCAACTTCGAGCTGAGGTTTGACTTAAGCCAACTTGGCCGACAGCTGCTCAACAAAGCATGCAGCACTAACAATAAGCGATCAAAGAGATTTTCACCCGATAAATCTGGAGCAGAAGCAGCAGAGGCTTCCATTGACAACTCCACATCCCTCTTTAAGTAGGAATTCAGCACTGGGGCAAAGGACTGGTCCCCATGTTCATGCACAACCCTACTTCCAAGGAGACGGAATATTACTGTGGAGAGCATGTGCCTCATGTTACGAATTGATGGCTCCCTGACAATACCAATAGACAAAAATGAAACTACATGAGAACCATCAACACATATACAATCAACTTGATGGACTTTTTCCTAGCACCAATAAAACAACTCTTACAATTAATTGATGGAACAAAGTAGCAAGTACAAGGACTCTGAACAAATTATGGCAGAAAGTTTAATTATGGCAACAAACATACTTTTAGGAAACAGGTACAAGAAGTAGAACCTATGTTACACAGACTCTTCAGTTCTACTAAAGTACCCGTGCACCCAACCCCCCCACCCAACACGGGTATTGGTAAGGGATATGGATCCGATCCTTCTGTTTTGAAAAGAATACTTATTAGTTTTTCTTTTTCTTTTTCTTTTTTCTTTACTCGTTACTCTTTCTTTTTTTTTTTTTTTTTTTTTTTTGGAGAAAAAAGTTTAAATTTGGAGTAAAAACTATAATAAAATCATTGTATTCTATATTTTACATTGCCAATATATTAAACTTATAGTAAAATCATTGTATCAATAGTTGAGGAGATTGAAGTAGATGTGGTTTATAGAATTAAGGCGGGGTGGCCTAAGTGAAGGAGTGCGTTTGGAATACTGTGCGATAAACGAGTACCCACTAGACTATAAGGAAAATTTAGATTGGATGATTAAAGGTATTCACGAGGGGTGCTGTATGCACAATGATTGATGATGCTGTAATCCTACATAGTATGAAATATGGCCTTGTCTTAGGAATAAAAACCTCACCTTTCTTTTTCAAGGTTGATCTCTTCAAGAAGTGGTCAAGAAAGAAACTGGAGTGAACGGGGTACAGTAAGCAGTTCCCTGACTGTTTCATCATCATTGGTCCTTGAATGAAAGTAGCTTGCTGGAAATAGGTGCTGGACCCTCTATCTCTATAGAACGGTTAATAGACCAACGATGTTGTATTGGACGGAATGTTAGGCAACTAAGAAACAACATGTAGATAAGATGAGTATTGTTGAGATGAGGATGCTAAGGTGGATGTGTGGCAAGACTAAAAAAGACAAAGTTAGAAATGAATATATTCGTGAATAAATAGGAGTCACACTAGCCAAGAGAGAATATATTGAGATGGTTTGGTCATATACAAAGGAGACCAACAGAGGCAATAGTGAAGAAATGCGATACAATGACGATAGATGGAAGTGTTAGAGGAAGTGATAGACCTAGATTGACGTGGGCTAATGTAGTAAATAGAGATATGAATCTTCTTAATTTGACTAACCAAATGGCCTTTAATAGAGTCGGGTGAAGAAGAATGATTCATGTAGCTGAACCAGAAAGATTTATATAGCCGACTCCATTTGATAGGACTGAAGGCTTGGTTTGGTTAATAAAATCATTGTATATATTATGATACATCATGAATAAATTTTATTTGTACACATATAAAAATATTATTTTCCTATTAGACAACATATTCCCGTATCCATATATAATTTTTGGATCCTTTTTTGCCGAGTCCGTGTATCTTAAAATTTAGAGTTTGATGTGCCCCTACCCTTAGATATGATCCTTTTTTGCCGAGTCCGTGTATCCTAAAATTTAGAGTTTGATGTGCCCCTATCCTTAGATATGCACCCACACCAAACAACTGCACTTGGGTTCATGTAACATAGAGTAGAACACAGAAGCTGCTCCTGAAACATAATAAATTGCAGTAACAGAAGAAAAAAATCAAAATATATAATTACCTATCAGCACAGATAAGTGGAAGCAATCTGAGGAGGAACTGCAAACGCAATGACATGGAAGCTCGCAATGCAGCAGGGGAAGGTGGAACAGGATCAGCCGCTCCTGTTGATCGTCTAGCTACTCCGGGACTACCACCTCTCATACCTTTTCGGCTATTGCTTTTATTTCCAGTACCTTCAATTCCAGAATTATTTGCTCCACCCTGCTTACTTGTTCCACAGGTAACTGCATTTATTTGTTGCTCAATATTATTCATCTGCTTGATCAATTCACTTGCAAAAGTATTGCGCGAGTCATCAGAGCTCTGATCAATGCAAGGAAGAACTAATTCAATCAGAGCCCTCTCAGTTACATATTGCTGACAGACGTTAAAGCCTTCAACATCTAACACTTGAGTGGATCCTCTTGCCAATCTTTTTAAGTCAATTCCTTCTTCAACTACCTCCCCTTCTTCAAGAGAGTTGGATTCAAACTTCCGCTTCTCTCCCTTATTTGTCACAAGATTCGAATTCAAATAGCACCATCCCCATGGCTTCCAAAATTGGGCCTTAGTTGACAGGCCTTTACTCTCAGCAATATTAATGAGCCGTTGCCTAATGGATTTCCGTCCAAAAAGAACATCAGATCCTCTAAGAAACCATTTAGCTTGCAGTAGCATCGAATCCTCGAGTGACTTCCCACAGAGGTGCACGACCTCCGAAAAAAGGGGAGCAGCATCAGGTCTGACTAGTAATCTTGAGAGGATGATTTCGATGAAATTGCTTTCAGTCTCGGAAGCAGCTGCTTTATCAGGAATTGGGGTGACAAGGCGTATAGCCTCTGCTAAGGAGGCATCATGGGACTCCAATTTTTCAATCAGGGCTTGCTCATTTAGGAGAAGCCTGAGCTCAACCCATTGCCAATGAAATTTTGCAGGCTGCAGAGTATCTAAAATGTGTACAAGCTTATCCATAAGCTGTGCCTCGTTTTCGGCATACTGGACTCCTGACTCACCATGTCCCGAGACCTGACTCATATCATCTGAGTGTGGCATTTTACAATCAATGATGGCATTTAGAAAAAGCCTTGCACGGAGAGGAACAAATGCCATTGCTTTCAAATGCATGTTTGAACCTTTCAATTCTAGCAACCCAGCAAACTCAGAATTAGTGGCATCTGCAACTACAAGATCATAAAAACCATGAGCGTCTCGCATACAGATATCTCGAAAAGGGAGGTGCTTTATGGCTTCACCTATTGCCAATGCCAAAGATTGACACAAATGATGGATGTCCTCGCGGGTTACAATGCTAGTGTTGAAGATAATTGGCCTCCATATCACAAAAGCAAAAATGGAATACGCAGGTGGAAAAACCAAGCTGAGAGGGAGTGTTCGTTGCATTCTGGATAGAGCTACTACAGATGCTTCGCCCAGAAGCTCCACGAGCAATCCATCAGAAACCGTTCTGCAGTTCCCAACAAGCACTCTAAACCAATGGACAGGAATTTCAACCAAGTTATCAATCTTAAAAGCCCCCATTGCACGTGCATTACCATTTGCATTGGATCTTGTACTCCTTACAAACTGTATTACATCCAACCCTTCTTTTAATCTAAAGACAGCCACCATTCTCTCCAGGTTAGCAACTCCATGAAGAATTGCCCCAACAACAAGTGCAGAAACAGCAGCTGTAATTTTTGCAGCCCTTCCAAAAACTGCCTTTGTAGAACTGTTCAAGATTTCATTTGACAAGTTTGCATTGGAATCATGAGTTTCAGGAGACGGTTGAAACTGACTACGAGGAGCCTTCCCAGGAACAAAAGCTTGAGCGAGGGCAGAAGAAGCTTCTGTTGCAAGAGCAATCTCAAACACACGACTTTGACGCTCCCCGAGTGCTTCTCTAAGAAGATGTAAGCAAGTAATATGACTACGTAAAATCCTGCGAGCAAAATTTAATGACCCAATAGAAGATGGAAATTTTGGATGATTACCACTAGCTGTTAAATCAGGAATTCTTGCTATAACTTGACTAACGCTGTTAACAATTGCAGAAACAGCAGAGGACACCAAAGAGGGGTCCCCTTCTTGAGCAGCACCGCCCGTTTGCCTCATGCAGTCCATTAGGCCTACTACTATTTGTTGCGGCATTTGATACCCATCATCCCATTTCTCAAGAGAAGGGCCTTTGATAGAACCAGCAGCAAACAGTTTCCTCTCTTTGCCATAGAAAAGCTGAAAAACTTCTTCAAAATGTTTTTGCACCATCTCTCTCATGTTCAAACCCACTCTAGATGCTCGTACACCACTTATCTTTTGACGTAAAAATCCATCAAGATCTTCGACTCCAGCTGGAACTCCAAGTGGAAATGCAAAGTCTCCATCCAGTGATCTTCCAGATTCAAGTTCAGGAATAAGTCTTTTATCTAATTTTGCCTTATTGTCCTTCTCCCATTCAACAACACTAGCTACGCTGCCATATTTTTTCAACAGGTACCTTGCATAAACTAAGGCTGCAATACCGTTAGCTCCCTGAAACCCTTCCATTAGAGGCCATAACAGTGGCCACACGATGCATCATTGCAGATAAAGTTTCAGGAAGAAGATCAGTTGCAACAAGTATATGTTCATACCTGAACCAAACCCAGGGAAATATGATTAACTAAAATTGTAATTGCATTATCAGATATTATCCAACAGCCGAAATAGATGAAAATAAAGGAATGGACAAAGACAAAACCAAAGAACATGCACATGAAAACAGCAATATTTATAAGAAAAGCATCAAGAGATGGCTCAAATTGTAAACACTGAATAGTTGATGAGAATATAATATAAATAATAAAGTTGTCACTCTCTCTAACAGCTTAAGCTTTTAGATCAGTTGATGGTTAACAATTCAATATGTTATCAGAGCAAGCAATAGATCCTGTGTTCGAACCTCAACGCCCGACCACACGTGAGAGGGCATGTTGAGAATATAATATAAATAATAAAGTCGCCCCTCTCTAACAGCTTAAGCTTTTAGATGAGTTGGTGGTTAAGTTGTTTTGCATCAATCCAAAGCCCCAGTGATAGAAGTGGCTGTATAGTGCTATGTGGTAACTAGAATCACAAACTGCAGAAACTCTTCGGAAAGATTTTATTCTTTCATTATCAAATACAACAGGAGTGGCTGTACAGTCCAAGGTTACAACAGTTGGTATTCCAATTCCAAAAAGTCCTGTCTGCAATCTTAAGCTTCAATTAACAAAAACCACTAGTGAAATTGAACTTTTTCTTCTTCCTGTTCATTCCTCAATCCTCCCTATGGTGCAACAACGGAGCACATGCACGCCATTAAAAAAATAAAAGAATAAAAAAAACTACCCCATCGTCCAGAAATTTCTGGAACAATTTCTACCATAAGGAGAAAGAGAGATTTAAGACAAATGACATTTAATTGAAACTAGTTCTCCCAATGCTATAACAATTATTCGGATGATACAACTGCAAACTTGGCAAGTGTAACACCTGTAGATAAATACAGCCCAATCCAAATAAAAATAACAGAAGTACAATCAATCCAAATGGCATCACCAAAGTGAACTGTTCCAATCGTAAACTCACAGGACTCGTACAGTGAGCAAACGGCACAGCAAATAAATTAAGGCACAAAGGTTGATTAATTATGTTTTAAATTATCATCCTTCTTAAATATGGAGGTGAACAAACAAATGTGTGTGCTCGCGCACATGAGAGAGAGAGAGAAAGAGAAAGACTGCTTCCTCTTTGTTTCATACATTTATTTACTTGTTTGTTTGCTTAGGCTATAGAGAAGTGGAATTTGGAAATAACAAAATATATCAGGGACATTATATACAAAATAAAACATCATTTATTTTCAAAAGATGCACCAAGAAGACAAAACAAAAAACCCAGTAGTAAAAGGGATATAGGCCACAGGACAAACAAATGACAACGTAACAATCATTGTTATACAAGTAGAGATACACAATAACAATAACCAATGAACTTAATGACCAAAATACAAACAGAAACAATCCTCATAAATAAATTTGAGAGTGCACCTCCGAATTGATGACAAAATAAATGCCTCCCCTATTGCACATGCATGGCTTCCCACATTTCTTGGCAGCATGAGAACATTCCTCCCACCATGAAATGCAGAAACGGGGCCAATGAGAACTTTTGGCAACAACCAAAGCAGAAATCTGGCTGCTGAAACTAAATCATTAGAAATGTCCATCAAGTAAAGTATAGCAGATAACTCATCTTCACCAAGCTTCCACCGTTCAGAGTTCTTGTCATCAACAGAAGGAAAAGGCCTACCATACTGACCAACATTGGCAGCAGCCCTTTCAGTCTCTTCAACAAGTTGCCTGACCACAGCTACCAACCAGACCATGATAACCCTCTTCTCCATAAACTGCAGCTGCTTTAAATTTTTTCCAACAGAGACAATATCTCTGCAATGGGTTGTTCTGATCCCATCCATTGATTTAGGAGTTTCTCCATCAAAACCAGTTCTGTGGTGAGGGCAGCTTACCTTACTGTCACAAACATGGCTCGTGGATGCTCCCTGGCTACCTTCAATCCTGGCAGCTGCTAACTGAGCAAGGCTTTGAGTTTTACGCACAACTTTTTGCCTACCCCTTGAGGGCTGTTTGGCTGGCCTAGGAGGTGGATCAGGCTTTAAAACCTCAAAGGATTTTGGCCCCTTCCTCACCCACCAGGTTTCTTCATCATCTGATGGATAAGGTGAAAGTCCCTGAAGGTATAAGCTCTTCTCCTCACTTAACTTTTGTCTTTTTGCTTTTCCACATTCTTCACACCCAGGTGTACCTTCCCCAGGATCCATTTTATTGTTATTTGATCCAACACGCTTCTTAACACTCCCTTGAGACTCATCAATTCCAGTGTCGGTGGATGTAGAAGAAGAGTTTGGGAACCGCAATAATGCTGAGATAGCAGCCTTTAGCTCTTCAAGGTCAGCAACTCTATTGAAATTTTTATCAGACAGACTGGATGATGATTGAAGAGTTCTCCACTGATCAACAGAAGGGAGAGAAGCACCATCCCAGCCAGAGGTCGGATGATGCTTTTGTTTCTTAGTTGATCTATTTTTAGTGTTTGGATTCTTACAATGATCAATAAGCCCGTGAAGCACAAGAAGCCGTTCATTTGAGTAAACAGGCATGGCATTCAAAAGCACTACTTCAGTGATTTGCGCCTCTTCCAAAGCATCACGAATGTAGGGCTCAGGCAACTGCTTCAAGATTTTATAGTGCCTCTTCCGTCTGTCCAGGTCAACAAGAAGTCCATTGTTATCCATAATTCCACTAACAATCAACTGCCTCACATAGGCATGAGGGTAAAAAATGCCACATCGAATGAGTTCAATAATGAGGAGTTGAAGCCGCTTGAAACCTTCTCCATTTTGAACTTCATGCTGATCAATCCAGCATACTATGATATCATGTAACGGACCTGGGCTTTCAAAAATATCTAACTCTTTATTTCTTTCCACACTCCTCAAATTATTTTTATGTTCATTAGTAGTTCGTGTAAGATTCCTGCCAGAAGAGTTATTCAGCAGACCAGGACCTTTTGCATGGCTATTAACTACAGGGGTACTGTCATTCTTGCATTGAAGTGAACTTTGCATGTCTTTTATCTTTAGCTTTAAAAACCGAATTGCAAGGTCTACCTGAGAAAAATCTTTTCCACCAGTGAACTTCATGCCACGAGGCGGAACCGTCCTAAAATCTCTGAAATCACAAGTTGCCCACTCACAAAGGAAAAATACAGAGCAAACGAATGAAGAGCTTACTGTTCCAATCCACTTCAAAGATGATCTCAGGCATGGGCTGACTTCCGCCACCCAAGCTTCATCAACAGCTCCATCACAAAGATCTTCAAAGAGAAGACTATAAGCCATTCTCACATCTCCAAGTATAAGAGCCTTATCCAATTCCTGTACAACTTTAGCAAAATTGCGACCTCGATAGCCAGGTCTTGCTGCCAATGCAAGATTTTCGGCACGTTTCTGAATTAATGAAACAACATGATCAAGGGAAAAGGATTGATATTGAGGTTCAAGCCCTTTATCTTTAAGCACAGAACCATAATCTATTTTCGAAGCACCATCAGAAACTTTTGATAAAAAATTCCCATCATTCACCACATGAGATACCACACAAATTGGCAAAGGAAAGCAATCCAATGCAACAAAAGTATCGGGCACAGCCAGTATCATGTACTGAAGCATCTCAACCAGAGCAGATGTAGTGTATGCCCTCCGGGAATTATCTACAAGATCAGAACCACCTGGGGAAGGTTCCTGAATGAAACGAACAGCTAATCCGACAACAGAGCGTACATAGGTCTGAGATAAGACAACGGTTTCTATGATGCCATATAGGATGGGCAATAACAACTGCAAAGTCCCTAACAGATTTTTTTCCTGCAAAAGGCATAAATATGAAGTTCCAACAAAAAATAATTATGTAAATAAAGATTTCCCTGCAAGCACATATTTTATGATTATCCAAATAAATGGGCCTAACAATTGGCTTAAAGTACCTGCAATTGATTGAGAACCCAATCAATGATGAGTGAAGGAAGAAGTAGCCCTTCTGTGTGGTGCCATTGTAAAATCCGCACCACATACCACCATTTAAAATGTAAAGAAGGCTCCTCACCATCAAGAAGTGCTGAAGCTGGATCGCTCTTCTGCTGCATTGACCCACTATTTGAATGAGAAGGATATCTAGAGATAAACTCATCCAGGAGGTACTGCAAGTAATCAATAATGTCTTTTGTCCACTGCTCTGTGCGGGAAATCTGAGTCTTGTCAGGCACCCCAGAAGTTATACTAGCAGAGACGGGCCGAACCTGCCAGATAACACCATAATCTGCTAGCTTCCAAATTAAAGGATAACCAAGAGAAGTTGTGGGGAAAAAAAAACCCAGTGTTATACCGGTGATTAAAGTATTCATACCTGATTAAGATAAGTTACTTTGATAAACCAAGTTGCTCTCAGTAATGGAACATTATTCCTTACAAGAATTTCAAACAGGGATTTCTTCCTATAGCCATTAGGAACATGATCGGCCAAAGAACGCAACCGCTTATGGGGTTGTGATAAACCCTGGAAGGAAGTAAGTTATCAAGTTTCAAATTCAACACAAAGAAATTGGTCAAAATATTAACACAATAAACCACAGACCAACAAAAACAGGTAGTTGCAACCTGCAGGCAATACTCTGAATACCATACTGATTATTATATTGTTTTTTATCATCACTATGGTATAGTTTTTATCATCAGCATAGTATGTACCTATAACAGTACATTTTCAGTTCCTGTTTCAGATTTATCACCATATATATGTACCTACAACAGTACATTTTCAGTTCCTGTTTCAGATTTATCACCATATACATAATATATTTATCAAAATATTTATAATCATTTATATGTTATAAACTTTACTGAATCTAATATGATAATGAACAATTATCAGGAAAAGAAATTATAATAAGTCGTCATTGTATTTTTCATTTAATATTATTAGTGTGTTTAGCACACCCAAAGAGTGTCTGTCTAACACACCCAAAGAAGCCCTGACAAAAGGGTTGCACATGCAAACAGAAACCAGATAGCCTGACTTATAGACTAGGCTTAGGCAGTTCATCACTTCTTCTTCACTACATTTATTCCTTTATTTGTGTTCTGTAGTTGGTTCTTCTTCACACTACCACTCCCACTATGTAAAGAGACATGAGAGACGCCAAGTATCCAATACAAAACCGAGTACTCCCCCTTCACAACACAATTTCACTGGCAGGGTTAATCTCAACTAAGAGTAAAGGTATATGCTGTTATCCTATTAGTTCTTTGACTTGTATTAGTTATATGAGCATAATAAGACTAGCATCTCGTTTGAAATTTATTTACCATTATATAAATCACACACACCTCATTGCGTAGAATTGCATTCTTAATGCATTTGGTTTTAACAGTGAATCCAAGCAATTTATGATACACCACATGACAAGCACAAATGGCAACCACCGGGGACACCAGCTACCAATAAGGCCAATGCTTGGCTCAACTTCAAACATACCTCATCCAAGTAATTATAACATATTTCTCTTACATGCTTCTACAATAAGTGAAATGCACTGATAAACTAAAAGAGAAAAAAATCATTAATTCATTATAGCAAGTTCGTGGATTTTTTGACTAACCAAATAGCCTTTGATGAAGTCGAGTGGAGAAGAATAATTCATGTAACCAACCCCATTTGATGGGACTTAAGGCTTGGTTTGGTTTGGTTTAGCAAGTTCGTGGATTTCTTGATGGAAAAGTAGAAAACTAACCTCAATCCATTTCTTGCGGAATTCTTCTCCACACGGCCTTTGATCGGGGAAGACACCAGGCTTACTTAATAATAGAGCACTAGAAAGAGGCACACCATAAACTTGACCCACCTGTTACATCACGAATAAATTTCCAGCTTCAATTTCCATCATGAAATTTCAGCAGCACATTATCATATGGATGTGGAAAAGTGCATACACAATTAAATTTACATTAATTATACAAGTATTAGAGGCACCGAAATTGTAGGAAAATGTTCAAATATAAGACTGATGAGTATCAGCAAACATAAATATCAACAGAGGGAGGAAAAATGCATCACCTTACGCTTTTGAGCACGAGATTCGTTGATGGCCCTGTGGCATTTTCTGATTGCCTGCAAAGAATAAAACAATAAGACTAAAATAAATCTATGAACCTTCAAACCATAAGAACAAATAAGAGACAGCTGTCCCAGCTTCATACCATAAGAGACTTACCTCTTTGCACTTTAGGATAATGGGCTTAGTTAAAGTTTGAACCTGAGATAGTGAAATTTCCCTAGCTTCCTGAGAACCACAGCAAGTGAAATCAAATTAGATTATAATAATTGGCAGCATGTGATACAAATGGATATGCAATATTTTATTTTTTTTTGATGACCAGGTGTTTGGGCCAGCTTACGCACACCTCAACTAATCCCGATCGGGACCCACACAAAGCGCCCATCCACGTCGGGCAAATTTTGGGTAAAGCCCATGGGTGTGGCCCCAAGAAATTGATAGCACCTAGTGGGAGTTGAACCTGAGATCTGGAGGCACACACCACCAGGCCCCAAGCTACACCCACTAAGCCAACCACTTGGGGTTAAATGAATATGCAATATTTGTTACATGGACGCATCAAACTCCATTTGTACTCAACGTTGACACGTCAATTGCAAGGATATTCTGAGATTTTAAACTAAGACGAGATCCAAACAAATTTTTTCATGCCATTTTGGTGAGAACCAGTACTTGCGATGAAGCTAATAACAAAAGTTCACACAACATCAAAAGAATCAAAGTTGCATACTTCTAGTTCAAGTAGGAAAAAGAAAAAGTGAGACACTAAAGGGAATAGGTATTAAGGATGTAACATGCAAATTGGCTGCAACACCGAGGAAAAGTTTAAGTGCCTCGTCCCATTCAAAACCGTTATCCAGAATAAAAGACTCTAAAACAAGATTACCTAAAACAAAAGGATTAGTATAACCACACAAAGCAATCTACCTTCTTTGTAAACAAAAAGCTAAACTTATAGTTCCTAAACTCAGTATACACCATTCTAAAAACAATATCGTCCTCAAAGTTGAACTAGAAAGTGTTGTATTATTGCTACCTAAACTTTTTTCCCATATTCAAATTTTCCTTGGGCAATTCAACTCAATGAAACCTTGTCCCAACTATTTGCGGCTGGATACATAAATCTTGTGCTACCATTCTGCTATATCAAAGGCCACAAATTCGGTTACACCACGTGCTACCATGTCTATTCAATTCATTCAAAACAAAGCCAAAAAACTATGTCACATGAATTCTTCTAAACTGGTCAAATATCTATGTCAAAAACATGACACTTATCCAACATACCTAGTTGGTCATACGCTAGAGTAACAAGTTTGATAATTCCAATTTACTATATATATTCATAAAGCTCCCTCTATGAGTTGTCATTTTCTAGTTTTCTATCCAACATTATAAACCTACTTATTAGATGCCTACCTTACCTCATATCGTAATTTTTTTTTATCAGCATATTGTGTCATCATCTTATTTCCCGCCAATCAATCAAACTCCATAAACAGCTTTCTTCCAAAACTATTTGGAACCCAAAAGTTATTCAAACTCTCCCACACTGCTTCAAAGTTCAAATACTACTGCCCATCCCATCTTCTACCATACACTATCTCATACCCTATATGCTCTCTTTCTATAAAAATATTTTTCTTCTTCAAGTATTCCTTGAATAAATTTATGCCTATAGACCCAAAATAATGCCATCTGTTTCATCAAAAATCCCAACAAAATTGTGACACAACTTTACTAGTCTCAAATCCATGGGCATTCAACACATAGACCATCACTCAAATCACAAACATGCCAAATCATGACCATAGACTACCTAGTTATCAATAACCAAAAATGGCAACCACAACAAGCCACCCGTGTTACCAGCTGAGAAATACAGACACTGCTAATAAGGTGGGGTGCCAGAGTCCAACTCACGCCGGACACTTCTATACACTCATTGGACATTTTCAACACATGCCAAACACACGTCCCAAATATGTCCTTTTATATATATATATTTTTAGACGTTTCGAGCACTTGGGGTAGACACGTCGAATGAGTGTGACACATGAAATACATTACAAATTTGAACAAAATAACTTAGGATCTAATGATAAAAGAACAAGAATGTAAATCCATAATCTTTTGAACTTTAGAAATTCAAGTTATGGCACATAGTTTTATTTCTTTGAATGAAATATTCATATATATGACATAATAAATATATAAAACATATGATTTGCATGTAGTTAAATAATCCATTTTAACTCTCTCTGTGTGTGTGTGTGTGTGAGAGAGAGAGAGAGAGAAAGAGAGAGGGTAATACAATTTCCCCACACACAAAAAAAAGGATTTTCCAAACACGCTACCAATTCATAATTGACCAATTTTCCCCAACAGTAAGGTTGAACTTGAATGCTCAGGTAAAGTGAAATGCTAATGTTATTGGTTGGCAATCATATCCGAACACAAACCATTAGAGACCTAGGGATTTCTCAAAAGAGAACGGGTGAATTCCATCACAAAAAGGATTGAATATACTCATTTCAGCTTGGATTTTTTTCCCTACTGTTTCCTACTTTCCTATTGAAAAGAAACTCAACAACACTTCCTATAAAGGCAACAAGAAGAAAAGCCTACCTTTTTGCTAGTTAAGAGGATAGTTCACTTCCTTCCACCAAACCTTGTGTGCTCCTTTCTCAAAGAGGGCATAATCGTCAATTTACTTCCATGACTACCTCAGTAATATTAATATTGCCAAAAGATAGGGATGCATGTGTAAAGCGTTTCAGTGGGGGATGAGAACCCACTCCCTCACGTGCAACCCTGTCTCATACATGCAAATACAAACATCCACACATGTTGAAAAACATAATGCAAACGGAAAGATTTGAAACCAAGACCTCTCCTAACCAAGACTCTAATACCATGTTAGATCACGACTAATTCCAAAAGCTTAAGTTGTTAGGAAACGGGGCCAACAATGCGTACCATGCTCCCCACAATATGATCCGATAGTATCCTCAAACAATAATATGATATGTTGCATGTGATTGAGGTGATCTCTATCTTGCATGGAAAAATAGATCTGATTGGCCTTAATGTTGTAACAGCATGTGATGCCATTTTACTCAGCTGTGCAACATTATATGTTCAAACACATCAAATCGTGGTTACAGCTACAATGTCAAAACCCTTATAGCAGCTGGCTCAATCTCCACAAAGAATGAGTTGAGATATCATAATTTCACTGTTAACAAATTTCAGGATATACACAATGTTTCATGACCAGCAGGCCACTAGATTTGAAATTTGATGTCTACATGAAAACATCAGAATATAAAATTTTCAAAAAATAAAAAGAAAGAAGAAAAAACAAAAAAAGAAAAAGAAAAAGAAAGGAGAGGACAAAGAAGAAAGAAATTGCAGTTGGTGAGCATACCTCAAGGCCCTCAACAGTCTCCCTGTATCCAGATTGCACATATTCCCTGGGCAGAGTCTCCTCAAGACAATTTGGAGTCTGTGGGAGAAAGTCAGGTGGGCCAAGTCTGAAAAAAAGATAGTGAAAAAGTTTAAGGTGGAAGTAGTAGAAGAAGAAGATGAGGATGAAGATGACAGTAATGGGTAACACAAAGTGATAGAAGTTAGGAGCGGGGTGGCAGCAAATCAGCAATTTCTAAATTCTAAAACCTCTCTAATCCATTGTTCTAATAAACGAGAAAGTATACTAGAAAGAGCCAGAAAGCTAAAATCTAAATCTGTTGCAATAACCTTCTTATTCAGGCCACACTTCCTGAAATGGAAAACAACTAGCATTCACTGAGCAACTAGTAAATTAAATAATTGAGACATTTAATTGCAGAAATTACCTTGAATTCAAAGGTTCTTTATCACACCTCAATTTGTATGGTGTTGCCTGTGAAGGACGCCTGCAAGATCAAAATTTAGCTCACCATCAATATAAACTAAAACTGAACAACTTATTTTATATTTAAGTCTACTAAGACTTAATAATTCATGACATCAAGATATATATATATATATTTAAACTTGTAGAGCAAAATCCAAACATGAGTGAAATTTCAAAAGGAATAGAAGTATGTGGCAACTACTACAAAATAAGACGGGTTTCAATGCGAAAGACTATCTTGGAGTCTAAGAGCTTACTAACAAGCAAAGAAGCATGGACACTTCTAAGAAAGTAATATGTCCATGTCAGACACATGTCAAACACACATCCAAACATATCCATTATTTTTAAATTTTTGGGATATGCACTTCGCCCTTGGAGGACACGTGTCCATCGTTTAGATACACATGAAACACATTATAGTTTGATCATATGATAAACACTAAAGATTTATACCAATTAATCCATCCTCCTAAGCTTTAGAAATTAGCATTATGTTACATTTTTTTATTATCTTTGAATAAAAGATTCATATATATTACATATAACTAGCATAAAACTCATGCTATGCATGGTCTTAAACAAATAATTAAAATTTTATTTTAAAATTAAAGTAATAATTTAAAATTTCAAAAAAAGAAAATTAGTTAAAATTTTATGAATAAGTTGTTTTATTTAAATTACACTAAAATCGTGTTTTAATTGTGTTATCATTAATATTTTATTTTAAATATTAACTAATAGATACATATATCATTATGTGGATCAGTAACATTTTAGAGCAAAAGAATTGAATGAATTATAAAAATTACATTTACTTTAAAAGATAAATATATATATTCTTATATTAGATTTTATCGAACGACAAAACAACTAAAATTTCTAATTTACAATTGCAAAATAAATTTATTTAAAGTTTGTTAAAAATTTGGAGAATGAAATATTATTTTTTAGGGAGTAGCATTGACCCCTTTCCTCGAGTCATCCCAAATGAAGTCTTCTCTAACCCGTATTAAGCTCTGCCTCTAAATCATTTCATTCATCTTGTTAACACAATTAACTCTTGTTTCTAGTTCCCTTTTCCAACCACACTTTTTTATTCCCCTTCCCTCAACTACCGTTACAATTTCCAACCCTACAATCAATCTCCAATTGAAATTTGTTAGAATCTATACCAACCATATTCTAAGATCTCTATCCTCGTTAACTAAACTAACCTTTAGTAAATAATATCATCAAATGGTTTATCTTGAGAGGAGATTTATGTAATTTCAAAAAGTATGGAATGGTTAGACATGTGGTGCAAGGTTAAAATTAGGTTGACTATTACAAATATGAAGGAAAAATCTCAAATCAATTAGAAAATGGATTTAAAAAAAACATTTTCATGGGATGCAAGTCTGTCTTATATTTGGTGCAAGTCATTTCTTGTGTTTGATGCAAGTCTTTTTTGTGAGTCAGACTTGCGTCCAAAGCGATTCAAATGTATGGTGCAAACTTTTTTAGTTAGCCACACTGATACACAATTCTCTTAAATTTAATCTCAAGGTCAGACGTAATTTTAGTTGCTCACAAACTGAATAGAACAACATTTGTGCCAAATTGCCTTGGTCCAATTCTATCGAATGTCATTATCTTTGTCCAATCCAACACTATAAACCAAAATTTTACTTTTTAGTTTGAAAATTAATTAATTTAAATATTCTAACTATAATTAAAAAAGAGAGAAATCAATCTATACATAACTACAAACATAAATTTATAAATATTGTCTAACCGTATAGAGAAATATTTTTGACATAAATCATTTTGTTAACCAATGCCTATCACATGGATATAAATAGATAAAAACTCTAATTTAATCATAAAAATTTTGAATTGAACCGCTTAGACTCATCTTAGACCGGTTGAACTATTCAATTTAAAGTTACAATTAAAAAATTACGTGTATTTATAATTTACCTCAATGGTAATTTTGTAATCTACTTAAAAAATTATAAATTTTTTATTTTTAAATCAATTGTGCATAAATAAAAATTTTATTTGGAAATACATGAAAACAATAACTTTTTAAGTTATATATTTTATTTGCATATATTTAAGATAATTGCATAAGAAACTTGACATTAAATTTTTTGAATACTAATATTTATGCTACTTCTGGATAATGATTACATGGAAAACAAAATAAAATTAATTAAACAAAAATATATTTTTTTTACAATAATCTAATTCTTTTTTTTTTTTTAAATTCATAGAATCCTAATATTTATGCTACTTCTGGATAATGATTACATGGAAAACAAAATAAAATTAATTAAACAAAAATATATTTTTTTTACAATAATCTAATTCTTTTTTTTTTTTAAATTCATATTCTTAACTCAACCAAAACAAAAAAAAAATAGTTTCTTTCACTTCATTTTTATTTTTTATATATTTTTTTTAATTTAACTGAGCATATGGAATATATCATTTTATGTTTTTTCATATTTCATTTTTATTTTATTTTTTTTAATTTTTGTAAACATTTTTGGAATGTCTGATATTATGTTCTAATAAGTATTGAAAAAAATTAAGGATCTTGAAAAAGTAATTCAAAAAATTATCCAAAAATAAAGTGTATGGAGTATATTCAAAATTCGTGTGACATATGGCCACAATCAGAATGCATCTGGTCTACACAATTTATTTTCTGAAAACATTTTAGATATATTTTTTAAATGTCATTTTTAGAAAATTGATATATAAATATTGAATAACAAAAAAACGGTGGTTAATAAGAAAATTGAAAAAAAAAATTAGGGAGCTCAAAAAAACGGCTAGAAAAATTATATAAAAAAAAAATAAAGTCCGGCTTAGATTTAAAATTCGGGTAAACGTGGGTTGCAGTAACAATAAATTTGGTCCAACTTTATTTTTGGACAACTTTTTAGATAGTTTTTTTTTTTCGTAAAAATTCAGAAATAGTTAACAAATGAATGATAAAAAATTCAGAAATTTGAGAAAAATATATTGAGATTTTCATCATCAATTTAAGAAATAGAAAGTTTCTATATTTATGAAAATTTCAACGATTCTCTAATTAATTGAAAAAAAATTGAAAGGCATTACCATATTGATCATTAAATTTAAAAAAATAAAAAAGAAAATTGATGAGAACCAATAATATGATGACACATACATTTTTACATTATAAAAATTTAGAAATTTAAGAAAAATTGATTGAGATTTACATCAACAAAGACCTCACAATGTTTTTGCTTATATTATATAATGATTATATATATAGTTATATAAAATTAAAATTAAATATAAATCTTTCCTAATAAATAACTTCATGTTAAATAGGAAAGTCAATATAAATTTAATAAAATATGAATAAGGTAGACGAAAAAAATAAGGAATGTATTTAATTTTAATATAAAATTTGAATACTTGAAAAGTGAGAAAAATAGAAGAAAATTAACTTGTAAAGTATTTTTTTTGTACATATAATTCTATTAACTTTTATATATGGGTAGTTTAGATTAATTAAAAATCTTTTACATATTGGATTTTAGAAATAATTAGTATAAGGGTATGTTACATGGCACTTTTTAAAAAAAGAAAAGAGAGATGCGCCACATAGGTGAGAGAAAAAATTTAAAGGTAGACACTACTTTTGTATATATATATATGATAAATGTATAAAACCATATATTTTGCACGTCCCCCAGATCTTGTGTCCAGCATTTTTCACATATTTTTGTGTTGGCATGTCCATGTCATGTTGTGTGTCATGTGAGTACTTCTTAGCTGACAGGCAGTAGATGATCCAAAACAATTGATGAGGAGCATAAGATCACAAAACATTACAAAAGAATTTCTCAAAACAAAATAGTGCTTTCATGTGCAACTCCCAAAGCATGAAAGCACACATGAATTCACAGGACTGGGAAAGATTCTGTCCTTTACATGGACAAAAGGCAAAAGACAACAAAATTAAATATTTTCCAAAGAAACTTTTCAAACAATCATCTCTGACGGTGCAGACAACCATGAATGATAAACATTTTCTCATAAATGGCAATAATGAGTTGGACAGGATATTCAAGCATCATATAGTGAGCATTTTGGTGATACCGTGTCATACAAATCAACTACAACAAAGTAACTCTATAAATAGTTATTAGAAGAAGCAATGAAGGAAGGTTCGCTGCACATAAGGAATTAAGCAAAATTGGTTTGCCACGCTCTATGCACATTATAGGTAAATGTTTCAAAAGTAAACTTCACCAGGGGAAGGTTTTATACCAAAAGGATGAACTATAGCACACACTTAAAATCTGTATACCCTTAGCAGCATAGTTGTCAAAACACCTAGGATAGACAATGGTATTGATTCTCTTGATCCATTGCTCAAGCGACCAACCAAGAGCCCACGCAATTGACCAGCCAGCTGAATAACTACAGAAATTACATAGTCATTTTACAACTTAGTATTTCATCTTTAGTATTAATTTTAAAAGTGAAAATTTCACTTTGCCCCCTCAAACTATCATATGTGTCACTTTACCCCCCTAAACTATTAATTTAAACAAAAACTCCCCTTAAACTATCTTGTATAGCTGAAAAGTTAAAAGAGAGAGGGGATTGGCAATTGAAAGTCTGAGATTGAAGATGATGGACTTTGCAAAAGAGCTTTGTGAACACCGACTAGATCAAACAGTCGGGCTTCACCACCCTTCTCTCTCCGAGGCAAAAACTACTTCTCAAAAAAACACAAGTCCCCTTCAGGCTGGCTATTGCAGGCTGACAGTGTAGACAGTTGAAGCAACCAATGATCTAAGGCAAAAACTCTACTTCCAATAAAACGCTGTGTTCTGCTTCACAGCCGACAACCTGACCCCCTCCAGCTTGTTGCTCTGTTGGTTTGTTGACAGCAACAACTCATTCTGAAACCAATGGTTGAAGATCGTGAACTAGATCATCAAGGCCGCCATGGACAACTACTCCAAATTGAAAGTTGAAATGAACTCTATTGTATGAAAGTGAAGCTGAGAAAAATAATGGTTGTGGTGGTGGGTGCAAACACTAGGGATGGCGGCAGCAGTGGTGAAAAGAGAGGGAAGTGAAAGTGGCGGTGGCCCACGATGGAGGGCAGTATTGGTGGAGGGAGGGGTACGGGCAAAATTTATTTTTCCCCATCTTTTGTACCAATCTACAATTATGTATTGATGTAAAGACTTTAAGACGATTTTTTCTCCTTTATAGATATTCTTTTTAATTTGTCATGTGTTGACTTAATGGTAATAATCCCAAAAAAAAAAAAAAACACACTGCCCATTTCCTCCTATAAACCAATCATAAACTTGGGTAGAGACTACATTAATCTCTTTTATAAAAGGTATCCAATCTAACCCAGTAGCCAATAATATGCCAATATCCTTCAAGTATTATTATCAAGTTCACTACATACTGCCAAAAGCATAACTAGGCACCATGCAAGGAAAGCAAAACCTGATAAAAGAAGACATGCAAGAAATATACAGTTTCAAAAGTGAAAATACATTGATGTCATGCAGCAATAAAGAAAAAAATAAAGTATGACAAAAAACCTGATCAAATTTACGAGATATACACCCATCCACATGTATGCTTGATTACCAATATATGTTACTCAAAAAAAATTTAAAAATTCTCATTGAGAGATAAAGCACGTGATTGGAATAAGAATAACAAATACTAGCCGACTGTAAGATGTTTTCCAGCAAGCAGCGAAGTATTCATAGGTAATAGGAGCCTCATTTATAGAACAATGTCGTTGACAATTTTTTGAAATTCACATATGTGAAGGGAGTCTGACCAACTACCATTTTAAGAGGGACATTACATAGGGAAACTATCTTTGTTACCATTTATTAATTTACCCTACAATCAAGAGTTATTCATGGATGTTTCATCACGAAACCTATTACAACTGCATGTGCATGCATCTCATAGGCACATGCGTGCATGTTTTTTTTTTTTTTTTTTTGGGGGGGGGGGAGAGAGAGAGAGAGAGAAGTATACAATTACACATATAACAACTGAGGAACACATTACCTTTGATTCAGGGAGAAATTAGCTGGCAGTGAAGACAAATCTGCTCGGGAAGTATCCCTGGCCGATGGCCCACCAATTGCACTGTTATTGACTGCACTTGTGCAGCTGGCATTATGATACCTTTGCATTTCTCCCAACTATAACCAGCATACTGCCTCCAGCATCAGACCCCAATAAGATGCTATGCAAGTCAAACTGCAGTAAAAGCTGCAAACCAAGTCACAACAAAATATAAACAATAAAAGCTAACTTGGGACAACAAGAGCTATTAGATCAAAATAAAGCGAGAAGTGACAAAAGGGTAATCAATTTGTCAAAAGGCACGGAGATTGGGTATAACCTCAATGGTAGGATCATTCATCTACACTGCCAGTTCCTTAGCTTGTTAGCACCAAGCATGTTGGAACCCAAAGCATCTCATCTCATGCAACTTGTTTACAATCAAACCTGCTGCACAAAAGACAGGAAGCTACAAGGAAAATAAATATATCAAGGGAGATGGATGAACATAGAGATGACAACATTGAAAGTGAACAACAAAAATGACTTGTCCTGATAGTGTCTAGTGACACAACTGTGATGGGAAACATATGCAAACTTCAAGAAAGAATATCAAATGATGAGGTGGACATGCAAGCATATAGTATTATAGTATTTTAATAAATATCTACCAAAATTAATAATTGAACCCTGAAAGAATCATTAGTATATGGAATTTTAACTTTGAAGCCCAAAACAAACACAACCGAACTCTCAAACTTATTTTAATAAGAGCCAGACTCAGAATTTTATTGAAAGTATTACTGAAGTACTTATCAATAAATAAATAAATAAAGGGAACCAAACTACAAAAGAAACACATTGATCCTTAAAGGAGGTATGGCTAAACAGTTTGCAGTGGCTTATGTACTAGTAGAATTTAAACTTTAAGTCGAAATTGAATCCGCCAGGAGTATGCACCACTGTTTATTGACTGAAGCAACATGAACCCAACAACAAAAAATTTGAAGTGATATGATTTCCCCTCAAAACCAAGCCATCAAGTAACTTAAAAACAGTTCAACATAAGCTGAAACCTCATTTTAATTCAAACAATTGCACACATATATTTTGAAGTAGATACTTTTGGGATGACATCAAATGGCATGTTCAACACAGTTGTAACTCGCCACCATTAACATTACAATATTTAAGTTAAGCTAACAATTTTTTATTTTTTATTTTTTTGATAAGTAAAGAATAAATATATATCACTGGGAATGCCAAAGCTGACAAGAAATAACACCAATAAATTATTTTTTTTGCTTATATAAACACATTTAACTTTTAAGCATAAAATTCTAATAAAAAACCCAAATAAATATCCTAAATTTGCAGACAATGGATGTAGCCAGTACCAGAAATTAATCAAATTACGGTGAACCCAATAACAGAATTTCAATAATTGAACCATTCCCTTGGAGAAAACTGTGCAAGTAAGTTAAATTAGTTCGACACCAACTCGAACCTCCCCAACCCAGTTCACTCACTAACAAATGCAATTAAAAAAAAAAAATCAAAGAACATTAAAAAAACATAAAACTAAATTTACAAATTAGATGACTAACCAGTATGAATCAATTGAAGACGCCCTCAATACCACCACTTGCCGAAATTGCATAAAACTTGGAATTTTATTGCCGAATCCGAGTAACAATACAATATGCATACACACCCAAATCGTCAAACCTCGTGCAAGTATGATGAGAAATTGGAAGCATCAATCGATTTTACAAGTGAAATCAAACACATACCTCGAAAATTGATAATCAAACAAATAATTTGAAGAGTCTACAAGTCTCCGAATGGCTCGAACTGAGATTATTATTATTATTTTGTTTCGAACAGAAGTTGAAACTAGGGTTTTGGAAAAGAACGAAAACAATTTAAAAAAATGAAAAAAGTGGGAGCTTGAAGTATGAGGGAAAATGAGACAAGTTGGAGATTTGAATAGAAATTGTGTCGGGTCTGGGAGAGATTAGGGATTCAAGAAAACAGAGGGAGAGTGAATCGTGTACAGAAAGATATGTAGATGTAGAGAGAGAAAGTTGGGAGCTTTGACTCCTTTGCTGATGATGATGACGATGGAAACGTCTGCTGCTGGAGAAATAAAGGGAGATGGAGCATCGAGCGATCTTTGGGTTTTTCGGTATTAAGCGAATTTACTATCTTAATTCCCAAATTAAAGTTTAATTTGGACGAAATTTTTAAATTAGACTAAAATGTTATTCCAAATCGCAGTTTTATTGTTTGGAATAAAAAATTTGATGAATAATAAAAGTATTATTATAAATCACACTTTTAATTAAAAAAAAATGGTTACAAATCACGTTTTTAACATAAATTTCTTTTCTAAAGAAAACTCCAAATCACGTTTTTACTGTGCATATTGTTTGAATTTTGTTTTTTTTTGAAGAAAACGTTATTCCAAACCACGTTTTCACTGTGCATATTATTTTCTGAATAAAACGTGATTCACAATCACACTTTCACTGTCTACTACAATAAGCGTGGATTGAAACCACGCTTTTACTGTTCATGTAAATTTTATTATATTAATTTTTTTTTAAAAAAAAAATTTCCTATTGTCATTGTTTTGGTGATAATGTAATTCATAAAAAAATTAAAAAAAAAAAAAAAAAATTGGCTTTACTAAAGCCGTTCTCATGTTAAAATTTATTTTTTTTTCTTTTGTCTTTATTTTGGGTTAGAAGGTGTAATTCATGAATTTTTTTCGTCTTTACTAAAGCCGTTTGCATGTATTTTTTTTTTTTTCTTTTGTCTTTGTTTTGCATTAGAAGGTGATAATGTAATTCAGAAAATAAATTTTGACTTTACTAAAGCCGTTTTCATTTAAATATATATATTTTTTTTGTCTTTGTTTTTTGTTAGAAGGTGATAATGTAATTCAGAAAACTGGTTTAGTAAAACCGTTTTCTAGCCGTTTTCATTAAATATATATATATATATATATTTTTCTTTCATCTTTGTTTTGGGTTCGAAGGTGATATACATGGTCTACAGTCCGAAGCACACCTAGACACTGTGCAGTGCGACGAACAACGACGAAAGGTGAGACGCAAAGAGCACTGCGGAGTAGGCCAATAAGACGAAGGCCACCGCGAGAGCTACAGCAATGAGGAAGAAGAGAAAGACCTAAAATTTTGGTGATGTATTTTTTACATACGAATGGTACTTTTTCCGTTTTTTGCTATGTAATGTAACTTTTATGTAATTTGAAATCCAATTACGAACAGGAACTTATGTAATGTAAATATTGGGCTGGAGTTGATGTTATTGTGATTCAATTGGTTTCGCTTGTTTCATAAGACTGATGTTGTGCAATGAATGAATGAATTGAAAGATTATTTGTTTTATTCAATTGGTAATGTATTTTTTGTAAGAATGAGAATGTTATTTGTTATATTCAGTGAATCATGGTTACATTTTTTGGTTGTCACGATTGAGAAGATGAACAAGTTAAGAAAATGTGTATTTTTCCTAAAATAAATTTTGTTAACATTTTTGTAATAAAACTTAGGCCTAGTTTGGGAAGACTAAATAAGTGCACTTTTTGACTTTTTATGAAATATGGGTTGGGTTTGGGTTGGGTTTGAAGTGATGTGTTAGAGAGGTGATGTGACTTAAATAAGATGATGTGACTTAAATAGGATAGTGACTTTTTGACTTTTTGTCTTTTTTCAATCTTCCCAAGCTAGGCCTTAATACATAATACACGAAGTAACAAATTTAATAAATACTCATACAGGCATGAAAACAACATAACTGAAGTTGCAAATGTAACAGTTTTCAGTTACATAGGTAGTACAGACATAAGTCTCCCACAAAAATACATTTTGCACACCATGAACTGAACACACAATACATACATCCTGGACACCCTGAACTGAACACACAATACATAAACATAACAGTTAGGCAGACAAATATTAGGCAAACAATCTGACAAACTCATTACGGAAACACTTAGTCTAACACAGACATTACATATTAATGCATGACCTAATATTGCCGAAGTGTAGACATTAACACCTAATTCGCGCTTAAATCGGCAATCTCAGAGTCTGAATAATCCGAAAGCTCAGCGTTAGAGACAAGTTCAGGATCCTCCATGATACCCTTGATGGCCGCAACATTTGGTTCTGTTTTGTTCTTCTGGGCATCATTCTTAACTATGTATAGTTGCATATCGCGGGCTAACCTACGGCGCATTTGAAAAATCTCACATTGTAGTGTTTCACATAGTCGATCAAGATTATCAGGATCTTCCTTTTGGATCTCAACAGAACGTGCTTTTGGCACCATAATATGCCAAAGGCATTCCACTCTAGCCTACTTTGATTCTATTACAGGTGGGAATTTCTAACACAACATGAATCGTACACGAAATTAGGGGTTAGGGTTGAACATTTTCAACACAAACACAAATATGACACTATATAATAACATGATAAATAAATAGGGTTATGTCAAACCTGCATAATATGAAATTGTCACAGATAACCCATTTAATAGATAATTAGTTACAAATTGTAATGTTATTTTCATTAAAAGATGCAAAAAATGTTTAAATCTCTTATGTAACCTACACATTAAATTAAAAAAAAATACGTAAAATAGTATTTTCAGGTTAATATAGTCATTCTATCTTTTATTTGAGAGAACATGATCTTTTCATTTATTATTTTGAAGTCAATAAAAATATATTTTTTTTAAATAAAATAGAGTCAAAATTAATTTTTTTTTTTTAAATAATTTCATTTAGTAGAGATTAGTTTCATGAAATTTAACTTAGGAAAAAACGTTAATATTTCCATACACTTAGTATTTTTAATTGAAATTCATATTATGAAATTCATATTTGTCATTTTTTTGAAAGATAAGCTTGACTTTAACCCCATTTGCTTTACTCCACATGTGATTTACCTCTGATATTTGAAAATAAGAACATAACCTCTTTATGACCTAGCACATGTTTCACACTTAATGTTAACTTGGATTGAACGTCTGACGGTATACTTCATTTAGTCCACAAATCACAAGAACATTATAGTTATTTCCAAATTATATGGGTAGTTTGCACATGCACATTAAAGTGAAATTTGTCATTTATTAAATATGCACAATGTCTACACCTAGAGGGTAAAATAGTATAGTGAAATAAATTAGGTGACAAATACAATTTCTCATAGACGGCAAATTCAAGTATACAAACCCCACCTTCATATTACCAAGTGAAATGCTGAATAAAGGTGTATATATATCTAGTACTATTATAAAGAGAAGTCTTATCTGGGTGTTTATGTCTCATATTTTGGGTTTTTGAAAAATACCCCTATATCAGTTATATGGGCAATTATGCACTAAATTCTTTTCTTTTCTTTTTTTTCAAATCTCTCAACTTTTGAATTTTTCAAATTCATTTCAATTTTCAGACTTCGAATTCAATCATACAGTTTACAGTCTTATTTTCTGAAACAAAATGATCATATATATGTAAGCATGTGGACCTCGAATTGAAATTGTCAGTCCACCTTAATTCTCAATTCATGAATTTCATAATATGAATTTCAATTCTCAATACTCATAATATGAATTAGGGATTTGAATTCACAATGTGAATTTCAATTCTCAATTCTCAATTAGGGTTTTGAATTTCATAATATGAATTTCAATTCTCAATTCTCAATTCTCAATTCCTTTTATTAGCAAGCAAAAAATATAATTTACAATTCAAAATTCACAATTCAAAATTCAAAATTTCAAACCCTAATTTCAAAAAATATAGACAAGATTCACAATTCAAAATAAAAAAAAATATAGATACGATTCAAAATTCAAAACCCTAATTTCTGAAACCACAAGCATAATTTCTTATTTCACAATTCAAAACCCTAACATTTTGGCAGCGTTTGGTAACACTTACGTTTTCTGTTTATATTTACAAAAATTTAAAAAACTCAAATAAAAATTTGTTTGGTAAAATTTTTGATTTATAAATCAGTGGTCTCAATTTATAAATTTGGCAAAAAAATGAAAACACAAAAAATGTGTTTCTATTTTGAGTTTTCAGTTTTTTTTTTTTTTAACACCCAACACTAGCCACCGCCCGCCACCATTTTCCACCACCCACCCACCACCACCACCTGCCATTACCACTCACCACCCACCTGCCACCACCTGCCATCCGCCACCACCACCACCCACCTGCTACCACCAGCTACCACCCACTCGCCACCACCACCCACCCCTCGCCATCGCCACCGCCACCACCCACCACCCACCTACCATCCACCTGCCACTACCATTCACCACCCGCCACCACCACCCGCTACCTACTTGCCACTACCACTCACCACCCACCTGCTACCACCATCCACCACCTGCCACCCACCGACCACTACCACCACCACCACCACCATCACCCATCACTCACTCGCCACCCACTTGCCACTACTACCCTTTACCACCACCACCACCACCACCACCGCCCACTCGCTACCACCTATCACCTGCCACCGTCACCCACCCACCACCACCACTACCACTCGCCACCTACTTGCCGCCACCACCACTCACCACCCACCCGTCACTACCATCCACCGCTCGCCACCGCCACCGCCACCACCCGCCACCTACTTGTCACCCCCACTCACCACCCACCACTCATCTACCACCACTATCCACCACCTACCACCCACCACTACCAGTCACCCGCCACCCACCTGCCATCCACCATCCACCACTCACCACCACCATCACCCACCACCCACCTGCCACCACCACCCACCATCCACCACCACCACTACTACCACTCACTCGCTACCACCTACCCCCCGCCACCGTCACCCACCCACCACCACCACCACCACCCGCCACCTACCTGTCACCACCCACCACCACCTTTTTTTTTAAACATTTTGTCAATTACCAAACGCGTTTGTAGTTTATGTTTTTCTAAAAATAAACAAAAACCAGTTTATAAAATTTTTGTAAATATAAACTAAAAACGTAAACGTTACCAAACACACCCTTTATGATTTCATAATTTCAAGCCACACATTTAAAACCCTAACACATTTCATAATTCAAAACCCTAACACATAC